CGTTTTTTGCCCCCCAAACCTCAAAACGATTTGTTTGGCCCTTATTGCTCCCCGGGCGTAAAAACGATTTGTGCGGGCCAAACAAATCGTTGCATTCAAACGAACAAATCGTTTCTGCTCCCCGGGCACTAAAACGATTTGTTCGGGCCGAAGAAATCGTTTTAGCTCCCGGGCACTAAAACGATTTGTTTGGGCCGAACAAATCGTTTTAGCTCCCGGGCACTAAAACGATTTGTTCGGGCACTAAAACGCACTAAAACGATTTGTTCGAGCCGAACAAATCGTTTCTGCTCCCCGGGCACTAAAACTGTTCGGGCCGAAGAAATCGTTTTAGCTCCCGGGCACTAAAACGATTTGTTCGGGCCGAACAAATCGTTTCAGCTCCCGGGCACTAAAACGATTTGTTCGGGCCGAACAAATCGTTTTAGCTCCCGGGCACTAAAACGCACTAAAACGATTTGTTCGGGCCGAACAAATCGTTTTTGCTCCCGGGCACTAAAACGATTTGTTTGGCCCGTTAGTGCCCGGGAGCTAAAACGGTTTTAGTGGCCGGGAGCTAAATCGATTTGTTCGGCCCGAACAAATCGTTTTTAGGCCCGGGAGCAAAAACGATCTGTTTGGCCCGAACAAATCGGCCCGAACAAATCGTTTTTAGGGCCGAACAAATCGTTTATAGGCCCGGGCCTGAAATGCGTGGAGATTGATGTGGGGCTCAATTCGCGGAACGCTGGAGGAAGGGCGCGGAAGGACGGCGGAAGGGTTCCGTGATTTGGATGCCTTGTGTGTGATGTGTTGTTCTCGCTAGCCGCGGTGTGTCGTGAGGCTTCACGTTTGCGGTTGCAAATCTATTAGGATTCGCGTTTCAGCGTCGTTATGAGTATGGGACCCACAAAACATTTGCTACAGCCGTCTGGGCTCCACAAGCCTTTAGTATCACCAGTTGTGGATGACAAACTCAATATCTAGTTGTGTTGGCTTGGCAAGAAAGAGCGGAAGTGCATTTCACCTACTTGACTTGTACTACAGAGTTGCAATTTTCGAACTGTTGCCGCGGAGTACTTCGCGCACTAGACTTGTACTACACAGTTACGATGTTCGAGCTGGGGGTGAGAAATGTAGTGAGCGACAGGGGGGCCCATGAAGAGCGACACCCGTGCCAGCGATGGCAGCCGGCCATGTAATGTGTTTTGACCATCGCACATATATATATATATATATATATATATATATATGGTTGCCTAAAGCTCGACCCAAAACAAGTGTTTGTGTTGTGTTTTGAGGGTACCATTTTTTGGGTCTCAAATTGAAAGCAGTCCAACAGACAAGCCACCCTTTTGGGCGTCCAATTCCCTATTCGGCGCACTAAATTAAAAAGTCAGCTTAAGTTGCCAAAGGTGATGTGGGAAGCCACCAAGAGTATGTGTTTGAGTTGAGTCTTGTGGTGTTGTGTTCATTTTTGGGTGGCTGCCACAAAAACATGTTTTTGCTTGCCTCCCAACAGAAAACCCCTTCAAGGTCCGGGTATGGGTCCAAACTACCCAGTTTCACTGCCACACCAAAGCCTCACATTTTTGACTTTGTGCCTTTTTGGTTTTTGTCGTGTTCCCTTTCAACCAGCAACAGGTAGCCTCTCTCCCACGTTGCCATGGCATTTGACACGGTTTTGGTCCCTCCAAAAGGAAATTGATCTTCCAGGTGGTACCCTCCATGTGGCAAGGTGGGAGGTTCAATGCTGTCATTTTGAGGCGCGGTGCCCTTTGTTGGGTTGGGTCTTATTGGGTGTGGCCTGTGTCATAGGTTTACTCCACATGGAACAGAATCAGATCTTTTTTGGTTGGGGGGCCAAAGCTGAAGTCGTTTCTTGCGAGCATCTCTTCAAAGCGGCGAAGTTGCATTTGTTTTAGGTGCGTATTCCCTCGCATCCGGCTCCCAAATGGTGATCAAGCAATTTCAGTCTCATTGCACTTGTACCGCAACTTCGGATTCCGGGGAACAGTCCAGAGGAATCCCTCACAGATCAATTCCTCTACCACCCAGCGTTTGCGGTCCGGATTGATCCGTAAGTTGACGTGTGCCCTCAACATGGTGGTTTCAAGGGGGTTCTGACCACAAAAGTCATAGATCTCCAGAACCCCTCAAAAGTCCCACCCATGTCCGTAGACGCTTAGCTTTTCCGAGTTTAGGAATCTATCACATATCCCACTAAGAGCATGCCATTTGCTTAAGAATATGTTTGATGTTGCCTGGTTGGTTTTAAAGGGAATCTATCACTCTGGGTGAATTATAACGACCTCACACAACCTCACCCCCAATGGTGTTTATGTGGTGAATATCCACCTTCTTTCAGGCTGGTGAAATATTATAATTCACCCAGGTCACCTCTGTTTTTTTCCCCAGAGGACTTAAGTCAACGGAGGCCGCCGGAGGCCTAAGAGTGTCGCTTTACGCAAGGGATCATCGAACCACCAAGTTGACGGCCGATCTTTGATTTTCCTGCGGCCTGATCGCAGAGCTCTTATGTCCCTAGCCCTTCGAGCATTGGGTTGGGGGCCTAAACCGGGAACAGGAGGGCTCCTTCATGTAATATATATATATATATATATGTATATAGAGTCTATATAAATATAATATGTGAAAAAGAACCAGTTTCCCTGCAGAGATCGAAATTCCACCCTTGGAGCGACCTGTTTAACTTCAAGCTTGTTTGGAGTGCCTGGCCGCGTTTTTCGGAATTCAAAGCCCGCAGGGGGCAAAATCGGTGGAGGAAGTGTCAGTGATCTTTGGAGCAATCCTTTTTGACGACAAGCCCACCTACTTGTAGAGTAAAATTCAGATTTAGAACAAGAGTAACGTTTGTGGACTTATGCAAACCCGTAGACCAAGGAATCCCCCACTGGCTGCAAATTTTGCGCAACCAACCCAGTGCTTCAAACTACCGCTATCCAGAGTTTTCTCCTTTGGATTCCCCTGCCTATAATGGCTTGCCTAGCACTTAAGCCCATGGGTATGGGTCAAAATGAAACCACCAGGATATGGACCGCAGGTTTTGGCCCATTCCACGTAGGGCAAGCCATTTGGGGAATTTGTCGACAGGATCTACACCAGGTCTTGCACGATTTGGAGCATCAGGGTGACAACTCCGTCAGGGGCCCCCAGAGCGGGGGGGGGCAAACTTCCAGTGCCAGCCTTGACACACCTTGGGGTATGTGTCAAAATTGGAGTGACTCCCAAAATGTATTGTGTTTTTGGTTGTTTCGGCTTCCATTTATCCCCGAGTCTATGCTCCCAACACGCCGTTTTGCGGATTCCCCAACAGGCTTTCCTTGATCATTGCAAAGAGTTATCACTTGCAGACAGTGGCAAATCTGACATGAGCTTCAATCAAAATGGGGATGCCCCAAAAATAAATCGTAGGTTTCCTGTTGGTTCCCCCAGTTGTGGGGGTCCAAGGGCGAAAATATGTTGAGGTGCTTCAGGAGTTTCCCTGAAGAAAACAGGGGGTAGTTGTGGCAAAAGTCCCAAGAAGATATGAGGGACGCAGAAAAGGTCTCAGTCGGTACTTTCTATTGTGGTTCTTCAATTACACCCCAACCCCCAAAAAAACCTTTTTCGGGGTTCTTCTATTACACCCCAACCAAAAAAAAACTGCTCTGGGCGATCCAGATCAAAGACCCCTGATGGAAGTACCATGTGTTTCCCCCGCTTCAGCCCAGGTCTACACCCGTCAATTCATTCGAAGCCGGATGTATGGGCATTTCTCAACCACGAGCCTATGGACCTGGTTTTGTAAGGGGGCGTGCCAGCCTTGAAAAGCCAACAGCCGAATGCGAAGCTTGGTTGCTATATGGGTTTGCCTGGGATGCACTGGGCGAGCATATTGATCGACTTTTGATTTCAGCCCCTGTCCAACCAAGTGAAAGTTGTCGTTCCCGACCTGATGAACAGGCATGGTCATGGAGAATCCATGCAACACCCGAATCATCATGTCCAGTGAGGGGTGCGTGTTTTGCAATTAGTGGGTGATGCTTCATTGTGGCGATTTGGTCACGGATTTTCGGGCTTTAGCTTTTGTTTGACACGCGTGGCAATTTTCCGTATTGGACCCACAGAAAGCCGTCCACTTCTTTGGCAAAGGGGTCGTTTCGCCATTCCAAGGCGTGTTGATTGCCAACACACATTTGATTAAAGTTTGATTATCTCTCCAATTTATACAATTTTCACATTCGTCTTCTTCATCCATTGAATATTAATAATATTATTCACTATTTCATTAGGTAAAGGCCAACTCCAACTCCAAAGCCCGGCCGGTCCAAGGTTTCGCTGGGCTTGTCTCGGGTTTCGGGGGGGCGAGGTCGAGCCTCCGGAGACGACATGGGGCTCGCTTTGGGTCAGAAAGTATTCACCGGAACTTGACTGCTATTGGGCAACGGATCTTTAGACTTGGACTTCTTGGTTGAAATCAAGGGGTTTTTCCACTAAACCCCCCACTTTTGTAGGGGGGTCAGCAGTAACCAAGTGAAGAAGAGGCAGGATCTTTCTGATGGAATGTCGAATTATTGCCTAGCTCACCCAGTAGTGCCCGCCTGAAGGTTCCTTCAACTAGCCTTGCCTGAAGACAGCAGTCCTTGGATTTTCTTCCGCTGAACCCCGAGACTCACCGCCGGCCGCCTTGAGGTCGAGGCTTACCATCTTGACTTCCCGATGTTGTTTGTTTCTGAAGGGCTTTTGTCTGGGTGCTACAAAATCAAATCATGTTACACCTGTCACACATCGGACCCTTTGAGCCCAGTGCAAAGTTGACGCTTCGATCACTTCGACCCACTTTCCCGAGTCCCTTGGTAAGGATGTCCTTGGGTCAAAAGGGGGGTTGGTACATCCCAGGTACTTGGACCCTTACCAGCACCCCAAGTGCTGGAATTCTGGACCAAAAAGCAGTTGTCAGGGGGTGCTGTGTATTTCTTGTTAAGCCCTTTGAGTCCGGAGTGTGTCACACTGCACGCAGCATCTCGCAGCCCGTCGGCTCCAACATTTCGCCCAAAAAACCCTGTCACGGCAAAACCCGAGCTCTTTCCAATGACTGCTGCCGACGCCGAGCCCTGGCAAATTTTGGTTCCCTCACTCCCCGAACTTTGTTCTACTGGGTAGGTTTTCCGTCCTTAGACTTTTATAGCATTTTAGAGTTCAGAGGGATTTATCACATGTCCCACTAAAAGAGGGATCAACGAATCAACAATGTGTCTGGACGTTATGCTTTTGGGGAAGGCAATCTTTGCACAATAAACCCTTTGTTGGGCAATCCAAGGAAGTGAGTTCATCACATGAACCAAGGACCTAATCAGCAGAACCTCAATGCAGTCTGTCGTCCGACTGCGTTTTCCCATGTTCAGAGCCGCAAGCCTGCTTCCGAGATCTTCGGTCCGTCTATTTTGTAGGTACCCGTTTTTGGGCTTGGTGGGAAGCCAAAAGGAAAGCCGAACTCACTTTGGGTGTCCTCTTCTCGTAAAGAACTGGGCTGGCAACGCTTATCTTCTTGGCTTCTTTTTGTGGCAGCCTCGCGTTTTTTCAGCCTCTCCATATCTCCCAACCCCCAATTTTTGACCAGGTTCTGGGCACGTGGAAGGGACGCGCTAAATTTACACGTGGGCCAAATTGAGGTGATCGATCCCGTTCGGGTTATTTTGGCATGCATGTTTCTTTCAATGCAAGAATCAGCTCCTGTCTCCGAGGCCTCACGAAGCAATTATCCGATGGACGAACTGGTTCCAGGTTGTACGAATTTTTTTTGCTTGTGAGTTGGCAATGTCCTGGCATGGATGTACATTCTGACATTGGACACCGACTTGTTGCTTTAAAAATAGTTTTGTTTGCATCAGGAACGCACTCAAAAAGGGCTCCGTACACATCTGCGTCCCTTAACGTTGTTGGTCCAAAGAGGCAGAGCACATGCTCAAACGGCCCCCCAAAAGGAGGAGACGGACCCATCCCAGTTTGGAAGCCGTGATTTGGTCTGCGGACTGTTTGCTCCGTTTTCCCTGCATCTTGCTAAAGACTAATCGTAACCCTGGGATGCTCGGGTTCCGAATCCGTGGCCGTGTGTGGCGGGTCTCCAGCGAAAAGGATCAGTTGAGTCGCCCTACACCCCATATCCGCAGTTTTTGTTTGGTATCATGTCACCCGTATCATTCCGGAAGCAATCAGAATCGCGGCCTGCCGGAAATCTGGTAAGGAGTACGACTACCTCTTCCGCATGCTGCTCATCGGTGACTCAGGCATGGCGGAAAATGGGGGGGGGGGGTTTTAGGGCTGCGGCTTGTGGAGAACTTAGGCAAGGCCCACTTCTTACAGAAAGGGTGTTCAGCTAGGGTGCGAGTTTCCGTGAGCCCAATTGGCATCTCCATACTTCAGAGGTGGGGAGGATTCCCTCCCATTTTGGTATCGCAGATTCCCAGTTGCCCAGTGGTGCTTTGTTTTTTTTGGGGGGAGGGTGTCCCTTTGAAGTCGACCAACCAAAACAGGGCGCAATCTTTTTCCCATGGCCACTGGGCATCTGAGGCTTCGGGGTGTCCAAGCCAATCTCACTCGATCCGAATCAAACGCAAGGAGCAGCGACGAATCCATTTACCTGTACGTAGGTAACCAAGGGAACCGCCCCTCAGAGACCAAAGGGAATATAGCCGCTTCCCTGCTATCTGAAAAACAAGCACCGTATTTCCAGAAAAAGCGTCGTGTTTTTTTGGGGGGGACGGGGGTATGACAGTTTTTTTAGGTTTGACCCCTCCTGGGGTCACTGGGGTCCATAGGCGTGGGCAAGTCCTGCCTCCTGCTTCGCTTTGCGGATGACACCTACTCCGAGAACTACGTCTCCACCATCGGCGTGGACTTCCGCATCCGCACCATGCTCATCGCAGCTTGGTTCCCAGACTGACGAGTGTGTCGACTTTTTTCATTTGGGTATGCATCAAAATTAAGCCACCAGGGGACCGCGTCCATGCCCCCATTTACTTTCATACTATGGGTTTGTCCCATGGCTGCGGGTCTGGATTCGGTTTTGCTGGGCTAAATGTTGGAAGAGGAACCAGAAAACTGAACACATTTTAGGCGAAACAGGGATTCGGTGTTGTTTGGGCTAAGAATGGGTCGACACCTTTCAACCATGGTTCCTTTCAATCACCCCTTCGCCCTTCGGTTCTCTTTGCCCTTTCAAGACTGCTGTCCTTTTGGAAAGGGAGTCTGTGCACTTTCATGTTTGTTGGTGGAGGGTTATGGACTTAAGTGTTGCGTCTTGGCCTATCTTGAATCTGAAAACGAGATCGCAGCAACTGTGGCGGAGAAGTGGTTAAGGGAAGTACGAAGTGGATCCCAGTTACCGTTACCAGCCATTTTCCTTTTGGGTGGTTCTAAGTGTTTGCTAGGCCCGGAATCCCGAAACCCGGGGGCTCATCGCTTTCTGGGTTTGATCATCGCCGTGAGTGTTTCCCTAGTGCGAAAGGTGAGAAGCGGGGATCCTGGCGGGCCAGCCCGATGAGCTTTTGTCAGAGAAACCATGCAAACCCATGTAAAGAGTATGAAAGGACGACACCATGCGGCCCATAGTTCCCACAAATAAGTTTCTTTAGAAGCGAGGGTTTAAACCTGTGAAATCAGGCAGGATTTGTAGAAGGACCGGGTTGGACCAATTGCATATAGAGTTTTCACCATACACAGGTCAGGCCATGGAAAGCCAGCGCCAGGATCGTGGCTGCATCAATTTTCCGTGAGGGAGAGAGGCAAGATAGGGGAGCTCCTTGACTAAACAGTGGACGAAGGGTTTGGATACTTCTCTGTGCCAATCCACTGGATTGGAAGTTGAGGGTAGGGGAGGATAGCAAGGCATTTCCGCAAAAGATGGCAGCTTCCCCAAACCACCGGGTCCCAGATAAGCTCACGTATGTTCCCTGAAATACGCCAGTGGCTTCTTTTCTCCCAACCCCTCAATGTGTTTTGGTGTATCGGACCCCATCCAAGGACGGCAAGCGGGTGAAGACGCAGATCTGGGACACCGCGGGGCAGGAGAGATTTCGCACCATCGCCGCCAGCTACTACCGGGGCGCGCATGGCATCATCATCGCCTTTGCAGCTTGGACCGCAAAGTCGAAGCCCGCTCTATGGGGCAAAAAGTGTTTTCCGTTGCGGCTACCTGGACCCTCAAGCTACCCAGGTAAGAAGGGAATTCACCCAAGCAAAAATTTGGGGCAACAAGCGATTTTTTCTGGGTAGTCAGGTTTAGTCCAACTACCTTTTTCGGGTGGTTTTAGAGGGAAGGCAAAAGGACAACCATGTCGGAGCTCCGAATTCTTTGTTTTGGACGCACACCATGATGTGGCTGTGGGTCAAAATCCAGATCGTACTTGCAGTGAACATCCCAATCCAACCACCACCTAGGGCTTCAAGAACCTGTAAAAATGTCGTACCCTGACTAAAACATTGTGTTTTTCTCGATTTTCTGAAAACATTGTGTTTTCAGGAAAAAACAATCATTGTGTTTTTGATGAAACCCCTTAAACATGGGCTTCTGAGGCCAAACGCTCATTTGGAGCAAAGGGTCAAAGGCAAGGGTCAGGAGTGGATTCACACAGGCATCACCCATTAAGATTTCAACTGAAGGCAACGCTCTATACTGAGTATGCTTCAAATTCTGTGGACCACATTGATGAGCCTGACAGCCAGGGTGTGCAGCTGGCTTCAGTCTTGAAGTACCTTTCACAGCAACAGGCACCTGAAGACTTGTGCCAGGTCATACCGAACCAGTTGGAAGGGGGTGCTGGAATCCGAAAGCTCCTTTTGGTGCAAAACAAGACCAGGTGACACCTTTTGAGATTGTTCTTATAAATTTTGAGTTTTTTTTAGAAAATGGGGCGGGATCCTGGCGGCTAACCGCAGAAACCCGTGGAAAACCCGTAGAAAACCCATAGAAACCCGTAGAAAACCCGTAGAAAGCCCGCAGCCCCAACCGAAAACATCGGGTTTTTTGGAAAACATCGTGTTTTCTAACCCGTAGCTAAACCGTGGAGAACCCGTAGTAAAGCGTGGCAAACCGTGGAAATTCTATGGGTTTTTCGGGTTCAACCACGAATGCGCTAATTCGAGAATGTTGCTGGAAAACAACGAAGTCGTGAGCAAAAGCACGGTCTTTGCTTGAGCTTGCGCGCTGTTCGAAGCCAGCAAGCCCTCATCGTGGCATTGCTGCTTGACGAGTGTCATAAAACCGTGGTACCTTTGACTATTTGGGTCCCCGGCCTCCTTCTTTCAGATTGGAGTTGCGAAAGACGAGTGGCGAATGCGAAGCTGATTTCGTTACGAGCGCAAAAGGGGATGGGAGATTCTGAGGTTGAGATGATGCTTTTGAGATCTTTTGAGAACGGATGACGAGTTGAAGGGATGTATGGGAAAATGCTTGAAATCGAGAATGCGGTGTTTCCCGAAAACATCGTGTTTTCTCAAAAAACATTTTTTGTAGGTATGACATTTTCATCGGTTTTTGAGGCTCCTGGTAAAATAGGTTCTAAAAAGCAAGGTGCACCTACCCCAAAAGTGGCACCATTGCTTTTGACCCACGGCCATGTTTTTGTCACGCCGTGTTTCCGACGGGAGCCAACATGCAATGTGGCTTTCCGCTGACGGATGGCCACATCTCGTCAGGTGTCCAGCGTGCAGTCCGAACAGGTGAGCAAATTGCCATGTTTCTAGGGGTTGACTCCCCATTCTTTGCAACCATCATTCTGTTTATTTGTTAAACAACAAAAAAAGCTATTCCCCTGGAGTTCTGATGGCTGTCTGAAAAGCAGGATCCCTGGAAAGAATGGGGAAGTGTCCCCTAGCGTGTTATTAAGTTCCTTTGCCCGTTAAAACATCGCGCGCTGAATCAAAGTTCATCTTGGAACAAGATGTGAAGTTAAAAGCAGCAAAAAACAAGACACGTTCTGCAGGCGCGCCTGCGGTCACATTTGGGTTTGTCTCAAAATTGGGAGTTGTGGTTCCGTTTTGAAAAGGCGGTTTTTTGGGAATCCCTTCCTCTCCAAAGGCGTGTTTGTTTCTTCTGTTTCTTTTTTTTTGGGGGGGGGGGGGGGCGGGTAGGTCAGCATTCCTTGTGTCGAAGCCCCGCTGCAATTTGCTTGACGCGTCCCCTCCCTCCCTCCCTCCCTCCTCCCTCCCTCCTCCCTCCCTCCTCCCTCCTCCCCCTCCCTCCCCTCCCCTCCCCTCCCTGCCCTCCCTCCCTCCCCTCCCTCCCCTCCCTCCCTCCCTCCCTCCCTCCCCTCCCCTCCCCTCCCTGCCCTCCCTCCCTCCCCTCCCTCCCCTCCCTCCCCCAAAAAATACATAAAATGGCACTTCTAACATCAAACCCAAAAAATCAAACAGCATACAACAAAATCAGCAAAATTCACAGAAAACAAGATAAGAACCACCAAGCAACTCAAAAACCAGAACAACCCCCAACAAAATATTTAATCAAAGCATAAAACATTAAATAATTCAAACAAGCATACCAACAAAACAGCAAAAAAAAACCATCAAAGAACACAAACTCAAAAACACACATCAACAAAAACAAAGCAACATACCAACAAAAAATATCAGAAGAGTATCAAACAAAATAAATTCAATACAACCAAAGCACGAAAAAATCAAAAGAGCATGCCAAGTTCAAACAACACACTTTGAAAGAGATAACCAAATTAAGGAAAAATGAAATATTTCAATCTTTACAAACTATAAGTACAGTATAATTATAACATATAAGATTTTACATGTTATTATTATAGTATGATTAGTATGATTATAATTTCAGTACAGGATAATAATTTAATTGACAAATCTTTCTTCTTTCATACATCATTTTAAAAGTAATATTAACATCTCTCAATGTATTTTGAATATTAAACTTTTTACTTTCAATAAATAATTTGATATTTTCTTTAACATCTTCTCCTTTATCTTGACTATAACACAACAACCATAATATATCATCCATCATTTCATATTTTTCTTACTAATTTTAAGAAACTGTTTAACATAATCATAAGGTGGTATTTTATTTACAGTTAGAAATATTAAAATATCATCTTCTACATTTCTATGTCGAATTCTTTTTATTCCCAACAGACATCTGATTAATTCTTGATAATATCTCCAATTTCTACAAATTTTACATAAATCTTCTTCATCCATTGAATAATTAATAATATTATTCACTATTTCATTAGGTAAATTTAATTTATACAATTCCATATTTTCTTTTTTGAAGTGACAACAATCATAGCATTTTTTATTGATATAATTATTGATTTTATCACCGTTCATTTTCCTCTTATTATATTAAGGCACTATTTCTTTAAGTCATTTTTAAGGCATTAAGAAAAATAAGAAACAAACCATAAGTTCAATATAATTATAACATATAAGATTTTACATGTTATTATTATAGTATGGTTTTAATCAAAGTCATTAGTATTTAAATATTTCTTTGTAATCTTTGGTATTTGTTTAAAGTTCTTTTTATTATTTTTAAATGGATATTTTCTATCAGCAAAATCATAAATGCAAAAATCTATGCCCCAGTTTCCTAAAACACTTTTAATATCATTTATCACATCACCATACATTAATTTACCTATTATATTGTTCTTCTGTTCATCCTTAATATAATCACATATTTTATCAATTATGATTTTCAATTCTTGGTTTCTTTGTATTAAATCTTTAAGTATATTTTTCTAAAAAGTCACTTAAAGAAATAAACACATTAAATTTATATAGTATAGTATTATGAAACATGTTATAGATTATCTGTTGAATAATGATAAAGCGGAAATTCCAAAAAGAGGAAACAAGGAATTAAAATCAATAATTATAGATGGTAGAAAATTTAGATACAACAAAGAAAAACCCATCTCAAATGTTTTGAACAAGAAATTAAAATCAGAAGCAAGAACTAATGAGTATAATAGTTATGCAACAAAAACATTGCGCTCAACATACCTAAAACAAAGAATGAAAAATGCAATGACAAAATATGCAATCAAAAATAAATTCCAAGTAACAGACCAACAATCAGCTTTCAAAAGTTATGCTAATTCTATAAAACTAGTAAATAAACATTTTCAAGGTGAAAAGGCACTATCAATGATACACCACCAAAAAGATAGACTTTTGACCTTTTTGAAAACTAATAGAGCAATGAAACTGAATATAAGGGCAGAAGGTTTATTTTATCATTATTATGATGATGATGGAGTAATAAAACATACAGAGATACTTTATAATTTACCTGCAACAAGGGCAAACATATATAATGAAACCGATTTGGATGAAGCAATTGAAAAATCAATCAAAGAGATTTTATTGAACATAGAGAAACTAGAAGGTTCAGCATCTAATTTACAATTTAAAAAAATATTATCAATAACAATCCATTATGACAAATATGACCCAACTAGGGCGGGTAGTTATATAGATTTACCAGAATGGATTAAACTAAAAAAGGCATGTATTAATATCAAAAACAAAGATAACAAATGTTTTAAATATAGTGTTCAAAGTGTAGTGTTTGATATAATTAATAAATCAAATTCCCAAGAAATGTTCCATTACAACAAATTAAATGACAATATCTTAAACTGGGAAGGTGTTAAATTTCCAACTGGTAATAAAGATATTGAAAGGTTTGAAGAAAATAATAGTAAGTTAGTTTCAATCAATGTTTATGAAATTGATGATACTTTGAATGAAAAGAAAATTATAATTGATTACAGAACTAAAACAAGAGATGCTAAACATCAAATAAACCTTTTGAAAATTGAAATCAATAATAATAATCATTATGTAGTTATTAAAAGTCTAAGTCGTCTAATGAACTGGCAAACAAACAAAAATGACCAACCAAAACATTATTGTCATTATTGTTCTCACGCTTTTACTAGAAAGGATTTATTAACAAAACATTATGAAACTGGTTGTATGGCAACACACGGACAACAGTTTAAATTACCAAAAGAAGGTAGTTATATTGAATTTGAAAAATACAATACAAAATTAAAATGTCCATTTGTTGTTTATGGAGATTTTGAGTGTATAAC